CTACCCTCTCGTTCACCGGGGTAAACCCCAACGTACAGGCGCCAAGATTCTTAGATATCACTTGTGTTTATCTTTGTGTTTTCCATTTACCTTGTATCAAATCTTGCTAAGATGACAGAATGGTGTTTGTTAATATATATATGAGGCCTCTCGAGACACAGTGTTCAACAGTTCAACAGTAGTGTGGCGAGACAGTGACAGAGAGAAGCAGAGACACAGAGACGGGGCAGGTTGTTCTCTGTGTTTCCTGTTGTTGCAATAAAACTCAGCTGATCATCCCACGGAGTAGGCCTACCTTCGTTCCTGGACCACATATTTCTGTCTTTGTTAAATAAATATTACCATAACAGTACAAAATATATCTGATACTTTAAGACTTTTACTCAAGTAATATTCTTAGAGGAGACTTTAACTTTCACCAAAGTCATTTTATGATAAGGTACTTGTACTTTTACTTAAGTATCACTTTCAGGTACTTCATACAAGACTGGAAAGCAGCAACGTCCACTTTAAGATTTCTTTGAATATGACTGAAAAATCAAATCAAGTGTTTTGTAGTGGAAACAGGTGATAAAACAGGTGGAATAATTCTCAAGAGAAAAACTGCATGAATCAAACTCACACAAGATGCTAACTATGACTATCTGACACGCTAGCTTCTCTCAGTAGCTCAAGTGAAAAACAAACAACAAGAAGCACCAGGTTGGAGACAACTATTATCATTGTCATAAAATAATCACCCACGTTTTAGTAGGTAAAATTGAGTTGCACAATTATTTTAGGAAGGTGTTGCTATAATGGAGGCTTTAGTGGCCAAATATCTGTTGGTTAGTTAACTCACAGGAACATCACAAGCTGGAGGTTGAATTGGCAAATATATTCATTCAAACTATAAAAATAAATAACTTTCGAACTAATAAAAACTAAACTAAACTAAAACTATGCATTAAAAATGCAATAATAACTAATAAAAACTAGCAAATCCACTGTAAAAACTAATTAAAATTAACTGAATTAAAAGAAAAAAGTCACAACGAAATAAAACTTAACTATAATGAAAAATCCAAAACTATTATAACCTTGGTTCAGACCTGGGGTCTTTCTGTTTTGAGTTTGCATGTTCTCCTTATGTTTACATTGGTTTTCTCCAGGTACTTCAGTTTCCTCCCACAAACCAAAAACATGCACATTAGGTTGCTTTCTGACTCAGGACGTTCTTGCAAAAGTATCTCAATGTGGTTTGCCTGAAGGCTAATACAAATAAGTAAATAAAGTTTAAATAAATGTACTCCTTACGCTTCAATAGATGTACAACTTACTCCTTATGAAACAAATAATTTGAATTTATAGCTGTCATTGTCCTTTCTGTTTGATGAACACATTTATTTAAGTAGATATTTGAACAAAATGTAAATAAACTCAAAATTATGTTTTGATCAGAGATAATTCTAATGTAAAAATAAATAAAAAGTAAAACATGACTAAATCTCATTGGATTGTTGTGTCTATGGGGAATACGCAGTTTGTTTCTTGCTGGTGTCCTTGCAGGCTTTCCTTTTCAAAGCCAAGCTCCTGTGAGTCTTTCTCTTATCGGCTGCCAGCGCTTCAGGGAGGGACGCAGACAGCGGTTGGACTGGGAAGACAGATAACGCGCCTCAAGCTCCAGCAGCCAGAAGCTGTGTGGGGCTAACTCTAGATGTAGGCTAAAAGCTTCCCTGGGCCGTTCAGCTGTTGGACTGCATAAAGGCTCACTGGATCGACACCAAGCCGAGAAGGCCCAGGAGCAAGGTGAACATCACTCTGCCGTGTGCCAGCTACACAAAAAGCAGCTTTGCAGGGATAAAACTCTCACTACAAATCCAACAAATGAAAAAACTATTTGTGGTTTTGATCTGCTGTCTTCTTACAACACAACAGCACGGTGGGTCTGCACTGTGTTATATGACAAACATGAACACTTTCATGTTCCTCGTTGCAGATAATTGCTAAAACATCTAAACAGGAGTTTATTGATAGTGCTGGAAGCACACAACTACTCCACTAGGATCATTTATGTTGAACAATAAGAGTGCTTACAGCTAAAAAATATTATTTATCATTTCAAAATTGATGTAGTTTTAGTTATGGTTGAAAACCTATATAATTTCATCATATAATGATTTTTTTTAATTCAGAGTTTATCTTCTGATATTTCAAGTGACTATATTCGATTTTCTGACATTTTCAGCTTGAAATAATTTGTTTATCCCTAAAAAGGAAAACCGTGTACTTCTAATAGTGAATCAATCAGACTATGATTGTGAAGCACGTCTTCCACTGCTTCTGTGGAGCTGATGTTTTAAAAAAAAAAGCCAAGAGGATGTGCAACTGGCATGCAGAGTTGATGCTTTCCTGGGGGGCTGGGGGCCACACTTCCTACCCCACACCATACATGATGGCACTGCTGTCATGGCCTCGCAGATAGACGGGCTGAGTCCAGATGTTCCTGCTAGATAGGAGTAACACGGCTCAGATAGGAGTAACACGGCTCACAGAGCATCATTAAAACTCCAGCTCAGTGTCTTTCATTGATAAAACTGTTTTCTGTGTGGAACACTTCCCTAAATGTTGGCAGAAAATACGTACACATCATGACATAAAGAGATGATTCAGGTCTTAGTTTGGGGTTCTGAGAGAATGTTACTATCAGTCAATATCTTACCTGTTTTTGATGTTGCACTTTGAACATCCTCAGTTTGAAGGAACAAAGATATATTCTGATCAGACTGACAAGCTGATGGCTAGTTAATAAAGTAGACTGCTTCTGTCCAAAAACAACACTTAAAAATCCCACCACACCCCAGATAGCAAAAGATGTGAATTCAATGTTGAATTATGGTCAAAAAAGTTAATTTTTGGTTAAGGTCGATGATTGATGGTGGATCAACCCATCCATCCATCCATCCATTATCTTCCGCCTATCCGGGGTCGGGTCGCGGGGGCAGCAGCTTCAGAAGGGAGGCCCAGACCTCCCTCTCCCCAGCCACTTCTTCCAGCTCCTCCGGGGGAACCCCAAGGCGTTCCCAGGCCAGCCGAGAGACATAGTCCCTCCAGCGTGTCCTGGGTCTTCCTCGGGGCCTCCTCCCGGTGGGACGTGCCCGGAATACCTCACCAGGGAGGCGTCCAGGAGGCATCCTTACCAGATGCCCGAGCCACCTCAACTGGCTCCTCTCGACGTGGAGGAGCAGCGGCTCTACTCTGAGTCCCTCCCGGATGACTGGTGGATCAACCATTCTAGCCAAATAACCAATGTTGAAAGGATGTTAGTGAATCAATATTGTTTCATGGTCTAATTCCATTTATTTAAATGCCAACGACTAATCAGTGTTGAATCAACATTAATGTACAGTAGTGTCAGTTATGGTTGAAAACCTACAACAAGTAAGTCACTGACCACTTTTTGTGTAATTTTAACATGGATTCAATATCATGCCTAACTACTGTATAATTCAGTGTTGATTCATTCATATTTTGCTCTTTTGGAATTTATATGAAAACTACATCGCTGTTAGTTTTGTGTTTATTTACATAATTTGTGTCTGAAATCAGGGGCTGCAGCCTATGTGGCCCATGTAGGCTGCATAAAATGTCTGTGAAATTAGATGATCTCGCCTTTGGTTGACGTATGTTTGCGTGAACACTACCCTGTTACCATAATGACATGTTTTATACACGTGCCTTCAGACTAAAAATGTGCTGGGACATATTACACATATTTTCACTGGAGAAATAACTTTAAAATTAAAAATGTTACACACAAATACTTGGGTTTAGCTCCAGTATACAACTTTGCAGCTTAAATTTCAACAGCTAAGTTGCTAAACGTAAAACTAATTATTCAGTCCATGATGAATGTGCTAACTTAGTAAGAAAATAAACTCTGTCACCTTATTTTCTGTTTAATTTGTTGACAGTGCAATGAATCCTGGGATATCCTTGGCCTGGAAGGACTCAGACTTTCATTCTTGGGGTTTTGTGAGCTGCATGAGAGAACCCATGGGACAGCCATTCGCATGGCGCAGTAATGTAAGCTGCCAAAGGTTGCTGCCCCTGATTTGAGACAAAGCTGTAGAACTCAAACGCAAGCAAAAGCAGCAGCATCTAGCTGTAGCACTTCCAGTGCAGTCTGAAGCACTTACAGCAGGAATATATTGTTTTGTTGAATAATAGCAAAGCACTTTTTTCTAACTTTATTAATTTCTTTAAAAGCAAAATTCTATATACAATACAAAATAAAGAAAATTCAATGAAAAGAAGGGCAGCAGAGAGAAGAAAAAAATCTTATAATATCTGCCCCTTTTTCTCAAGTATAAATTCAAACAATACTAATCTTCAGTTAACAAAACAAAACAAAAATCTTCCTAGAACAACTATCTATATGAATGCACATTCATATTTTTTTCAACAATCCAACCTTTATCATTCTCTTAAACATGAACAGTGATTTGGCACTTTTAACATCAATTTCCAGATCATTCTGCAATCTCCCTCCTTGGATTGAGGTGCACCGTTCTTTCAAACTGGTTCTAAAAACTTTTTGGCAGTGGACTAAAAGTTTTGTTAAAAGTTATTTGGTGGATTACTATAACATTTTTTGAGATTAGAGTTGTTTGAAAATGACCACAATCTACTTTGGACTGAACTGAGGTCATTCAAAAAAATATCTAAAACAGGTAAGATATTTATTGTTCATAACCTTTCCACAGTACTGCATTTTAAAAATCAACCATTTGTCTTTTGTAAGAACCTTTGGATGGATTTATGTCACTTTTTACCCTGTTTTTGCCTAAACTGGATTAGGAAAGCAAACAGTTAAAAATGTGGGCAGCCTTCATGGAAGTGGTGTCACTCGTGTCCAGTTTCCTGTTTTGTTTCAAGCTGAGAGCTTTATGGAGTCAAGAGCAGGGTGGACTTTTTTTAGACAGGTACTGTATTCATGAGCAGGAATCAAACAGTAAAACTACACAACAAATAACCATTCAAGAAGAGAGCAGGAAAATCCTAATCCTGTTCATCAGGGGGTTTGAAAAAGTATCAATGATCAGCAGCTGCAAGTTAAACTTTTTTCCTATTATTATTATTATTATTATTATTATTATTATTATTA